AAAGAAATAGAGAGATAAATACATAGATCGATAAACAAACAGAAGATAGGTAGACAGATAGATAGATAGACAGATAGATAGGTAGATAGATAAATATATAGAAAGAGAGATAGATAGATAGGTAGATGGATAGAGAAATATATAGAAAGAGAGATAGATAGATAGGTAGATGGATAGAGAAATAGATAGATAGATGTATAGATAGATAAATAGACAGAGGGGTAAATAGATAGATAGATAGACGGACAGATAGAGATAAAGAGATATATAGATAGATAGAAGATAGATAGAGAGACAGACAGATAGAGAGAGAGAGATAGATAGATGGGTAGATAGAGGGATGCATAGAGAGATAGAGAGACAGACAGGTAGTTAGGTAGATAGGTAGAGAAAGATAGATAGAGAAGCAAACGAAAGAAAGAAAGACAAGACAGATAGAAAGAAGGAAAGAAGGGAGGAAGGAAAGAAAGGAAGAAAGGAAGAATGACGGAGAAAAAAGAAACAATGAAAAGGAAGAAGAAGAGAAAAAGAGTCAAGAAAAGAAAGAGAAAGAGAACTATAGTTTTCATATTTTTGAAACTTCCGCCCACCGGCTTCGCCGGCTCTACTGGTATAATAAAAGTTTTGTTGTGGCAGAAGGTTTCCGCATCTTTCTTTGCTGCGTTTTGCGCAACTTTCGCGCACACAAGCGCACACTGTGATACTCATGCCACATATGAAAGGAAACGCGGCTTCAAAAACAACGGCGTTGGCTTTAGAACGACTCGCCAAAAAGGATGGCATAGGCCCCACAAAACATGAGTTGCGCTGGTTCGATTGGAGGTGCGCTTGGGCAACTTTTTATCATGCCCTCCAACTCCGCACCAGCACCGCGCAACAACACCGCGCAACGGTACCGATACAAAGCAATGAAGAAATAGATTCGGATAGCGTTAAAAAGGTCCAGGATTGCACTCTTGACCTCGGGTCGACCGAGGCGGGCCTCACCCTCAACCTTGGGCCCTGATGGGCCTGCGGGCATCCTCAAGGTGGCCAGTCCAACCTTCAGCACCCAAGTGCTCGACAACATCCAGTCCCTTCCAAACAACGCCCCTGCCGCGCAAGCGCGCACCCAGGGAGCAAATACTGCCACGCAAAACGGGGCCACCCCAGCCGCGCGCTCGGCAAAGATGTCCATTCCCTTTAGACAGCTGCCAAACGCTGCTGCCACGCAAGCACGGACCCAAGTGAGTCAGTGAGAGTGAGTCAGCGTGAGTGAGTGAGTGACTGAGTGAGTGAGTGAGTGGGTGAGTGAGTGAGTCAGTGAGTGAGAGTGAGTGAGTGAGTGAGTGTGAGTGAATGAGGGAATGAGTGAATGAGTGAGTGAATGAGTGAGTGAGTGAGTGAGTGAGTGAGTGAGTGAGGGAGTGGGCGAGTGGGTGAGTGAGCGAGCGAGTGAGTGAGTGAGCGAGTGAGTGGGGTGACTGGGGTGAGTGGGGTGAGTGGAGTGAGTGGGGTGAGTGGGGTGTGTGGGGTGAATTGGGCAAGTGGGGTGAGCGGGGTCAGTGGGGTCAGTGGGGTGAGTCAGTGAGTCAGTGAGTGCAGTGAGTGGAGAGAGTGGAGAGAAGGGAGTGAGTGGAGTGAGTGGAGTGAGTGGAGTGACTGGAGTGAGTGGGTGAGTAGAGTGAGTGGAGTGAGTGGAGTGAGTGGAGTGAGTGGAGTGAGTGGAGTGAGTGGAGTGAGTGGAGTGAGTGGAGTGAGTGGAGTGAGTGGAGTGAGTGGAGTGAGTGGAGTAGGTGGAGTGGGTGGAGTGGGT